AAATTAAAATCAACCAATCAGCTTCTGTCTGCGGAGCTCCACCCACAAGTTAAAATCAACCAATCAGCTTCTGTCTGCGGAGCTCCACCCACAAGTTAAAATCAACCAATCAGCTTCTGTCTGCGGAGCTCCGTCCACAAGTTAAAATCAACCAATCAGCTTCTGTCTGCAGTGCTCTGCCCACAAGTTAAAATCAACCAATCAGCTTCTGTCTGCGGAGCTCCACCCACAAATTAAAATCAACCAATCAGCTTCTGTCTGCGGAGCTCCACCCACAAATTAAAATCAACCAATCAGCTTCTGTCTGCAGTGCTCCGCCCACAAGTTAAAAATCAACCAATCAGCTTGTCTGAAAGGCTTTCAGGTTCTGATTTGTCTATTACAAAAGTTATTAAAGAAAGATTCTGTTTATATTTTTGGCAAGTGTTAAAAAAAGATGGATGGACGGACAAATAGTTCAGAACAGTTCTTCAACAGTTTTGATGGGTTTTTTTTTTTATCTAATCCTGACGACGACTTGCTCTATGGTCGTTGTCTCCATATCGTTGCCATGGAGATGGCGTGTCCTACCTGGGGCGGCAGCGGGCAGGGCTGCATGTACGGCGGCTGGCTGGGGGCGGCCGGCTGCTGCTGGGGGGGGCTGAAGTACGGCGGCTGGCCGGGCTGGCTGAAGCTCAGGTTCTGTTGCTGCTGCTGGCCGTACTGGGAGCTCATCTGGTGGAAAACCAGTCCCAGAGGTCAGAGGTCAACAGCAACGTCTCTCTGGTCATACAACTTCTATAAACCAAATTANAACTGAACCAAAACCTAAAGAACTGAACCAGAACCTACAGAACTGAACCAGAACCTACAGAACTGAACCAGAACCTAAAATTGAGAATTCCTTCCTATTCAGATGCTTTTACCTTTTCTTCTTTGTAGATAAACAATAATTTGTGTTGTAAAACAGGATGTGAGGTGCTTGAGGAGCCGCTGACTCAGCGATTTGTTGTGAAGAATCATTATTTCTGCTAGTCTCCCAGCAGGAAGCTGCAGCCGCTCAGAGCGTGATCTCTGCAGATTTCAGCGGCCAGGAGAAACTGACGGCGTCATTATGGACGAGGACAGGGAGCTGCAGGACAATCTGGCAGCAAACGCAGCAGTGCGGCCTGAAATCTGCTCAATCTGCCTCACAGTCAGAGTCTGAATCACAACAACAAACAGCTCAGCGCTCTAAAATAACTCCGCGGTGACCCATCATGATCAGCTTTTCAAAATAAAACGTCTGCCTCAGGTCACTTCAGGTCACCAACCCAAACATTTGATCTGAATTCAGAGTTTCTGAGTCTGACTCACCGGCAGACTGGACGGCCTCTCCTGCTGGCTCAGGTCCTCCTGGTTTGATTTCCCAGGAGTCATTGCTGCAGACTTGACCCGCCCCCCATATGCCTCCTGAGGAACTTCCTGCATGAAGCACAGAAAAACACACCGTTAGTCCCAACATCCCAATTATAAAAATCAGCAGCAGTTTGACTTTTAATCATGAACTTTAAAACACAAAGAGATTCTGATTGTTAAACTCAACCAATCAGCTTCAGTCTGCGGAGCTCTGCCCACAAATTAAAATCAACCAATCAGCTTCTGTCTGCGGAGCTCCACCCACAAATTAAAATCAACCAATCAGCTTCTGTCTGCGGAGCTCCACCCACAAGTTAAAATCAACCAATCAGCTTCTGTCTGCGGAGCTCCGCCCACAAGTTA